GAGGAAAGGTTGCGGGACCTGAACCTGTTCAGCCTTCAAAAGAGAAGGCTGAGGGGGGATCTTGTGGCCTGTTATAAACTGGTTAGGGGGGATCAGCAGGCGCTGGGGGAGTCCCTGTTCCCCCGAGCGCCGCAAGGAGTGACCAGGAACAATGGTCATAAGCTGGCGGAGGGAAGGTTTAAGTTGGACATCAGGAGGCGCTACTTCACGGTCAGGGCGGCTAGAGTCTGGAACCAGCTTCCAAGTGAGGTGGTGCAGGCTCCCACCCTGGGGGTTTTTAAGAGGAGGTTGGACGACCACCTTACTGGGGTCATTTGACCCCAGTGCTCTTCCTGCCATGGCAGGGGGTCGGACTAGATGATCTGCTCAGGTCCCTTCCGACCGTAGAAACTATGAAACTAAAAAGGTGCAACTATCTGAAAATGGAATCTAAGGCTGCACAAACCCATGTCAATGGAAGTATTAAGATTCTGAGTATTATTGCTATTCTTTTCATTATAGCTTTCTAGAAAGTATGCTAGGTATTGCCATAGCAATGTATTCATTCAAAGTACATACCACTTGTCTTACAGACTGTTTGAGCCAATATGATGAGGTTCTTATTAACACCAAAAGTCTTCAGTATTATTAATCCTTAGGCATTTTCCCTCATCATTAGTCCTGGTTGTTTTATTGTTATTAATATACATTATTTAAGATAGACATGGAGTAACAAATGTGTACTAAACCTAAGGATACATAATCATGATGTGAGATAGCTGGTGCTTTAAGCTAACTGGTGTATTTGTGTTTCCTAACATTATCTAACATTGTACAGCAGTGGTGTCAAAAATGCACTGGTGACCTCAGTGGGTTTATTTTTTGAGCAAGAGAGATAGGATTTAACTTTTAAATGTATATTTGACATTTCTGGTTATGGCCAGATACATACATTATATAGTTCATATGCCGTTTTTTGTCAGTAAAGCTGTTTTCAAAGTTTCAGCTGATACCAACCTTAATAAGAGGCTTACCTTTCCAAGGAAATGTAATTTTTTACCCCCCACAAAAAATCCATTTTTGCTAACAGCTTCGGGATTTTCATCACCAAAATGAAAAATCTTTCAACTTTTAACAAGGCAAAGATAATTGTAAAAAAAATTGAATTTTTTTTAATTGGTGAAAACCCAAATTATCTTGAAGATAATTTTTATTCTAAAAAACCCCAGAAAAATAAAATCACCATTTTTCAGAAGAAAAGTATCTTTACCCTAACTGGCTCTGAATTTCATTTTACAAAATAAAGACCTCTACATGCTTGGCATTTTCTAGAGATCAAGAATCTATTTAGAGTTAATAGCTAGATAGACAGTTGAGATCAATAGCTCCTGCTACCAAATATTTAATTTCTAGAAAAACTCTGCCACTTAATTGTGCCATATAAAATTTTACCTCATGCGGAAAGCTGGAAACCGTCCTTTTACTGCTTCTGCTACTACTGCTGCTGTTGCTGCTGCGGCTGCTTGACTCAGAAGAAGATGATGCCAAGTGGCCTTCTACTTTGCTAATTTGATCCTGCAAAGCAGAAATAGGTAAAAAACTGTAGAACAGATGACTGACAGACTCTGCATCTTATCATGAGCACTCCCTCCCTTTGATTTCTTTCAATAACCAGATTCTATACACATGGAGATACATAAGCTGTAACATCATAACTAAAACTACTTGAAAAAAATCAATTTTCAAATTTATTTTTTTCTGAGAAAGGGAGGCAGTTTTAATTTAAAAGGTCATAGACCACTTTCTTACCTTTTGATCATTTCTAATCATAAATTTATTTGAGGACCACAATTATTGCTCTTTAAACACCTTCTTAAAATTCCTTATATGGCAATGCAATTTTGAATTAGATTCAGAGAACACCAAGGCGGATCATCAATTCTCACCACTGCTCTTGATTATCTAAGAATTGTTCACACAACTAGCGTGTTCCCCTCTGCCCCTTATTTTATTATCCCTGTCTTGCCCTAGACCTATTTATTGTTAACTATGCAGTTGTGGTTATACAGCCCAAGGTGGCCTGGTTGGAATCTTTAGGAGCTGCACTGTATCCAGATACTATTATAATCATAACAATGAAAATGATTATTTTTGTACTCAAATCTCTATTGCGACTTTAGTATTCTTGGACAGCAAATTACTCAGATTCTTTTACTCTGCAAGGAAACATCCAAGTAAAATGAACAAATTATTTTCAACTCCCTTTTCCCCAGTAAAGCATTTTAATTGCAATGGTCATAAAAGTGTATATTTGAATGTTGGTCCTACCCAATGGCCATGCGTAGACTTGAAGCGCAGCCGGTATACTTTTGGAAGATGTTTTACCTGCAAAATCCCAGCACAAATTATTGCCTGCAGTAATTCAACAAGACTAGTGTCATGTTCAAGCACAATGAATGTAAAGACCTTACCCATTCAACAGACCACTCTGAACTGCCAAAATGTGTGTATTTGGCATGTTTCTTGTCATCTTTGCTATGTTTGCTGAAATGGTGCGACTCCCTGGAATGGATCCTGGCTGTACGACGAGGCGTATCGGTAGCCTGGCTGCTGCTGCTGCTGCTGCTGCTGCTGCTGCTGCTGCTGCTGCTTGCTCCACTGCTGCTTCTGCGGCTGCTGCTGCTGCTGCTGTTGCTGCTGCTACCACTACTGCTGCTGCTGCTGTCGCTGCTGCTGCTGCTGCTGCTGCTACTATTGCTACCTCTGCTGCTACCTTTATGGTGGCTCCTATGGCTGCTGCTACTGCTGCTGCCGCTACTGCTGCTGCTGCCGCTACTACTGCTGCTGCTGCTGCTGCTACTGTCCTTGCTGCTCCTGCTGCTGCTGCTCCTGCTGCTGCTGCTCCTGCTCCTGCTGCTGCTGCTCTTGCTGCTGCTGCTGCTGCTCTTGCTGCTGCTGCTGCTGCTGCTGCTGCTGCTGCTGCTCCTGCTGCTGCTGCTGCTGCTGCTCTTGCTGCTGCTACTGCTGCTGCTGTTGCTACTGATGCCGCTACTGCTGCTGCTGCGGTGCTTGCTTGGGAGTGCAGACTGGGAATGTTTCTTCTCATGTCTGTGCACATCATCACTAGTAGCATGTTCAGTTGGGGATGGAGTGGAACGTTTCTTACCTGAGCGCTTTTTATCCAGAGATTCACTGCTGCTGCTGCTGATGCTTTCCCCAAATGGATAAAATTTCTTTTGTTTGCCTTTGGAACGTTGTTTGACACGTGGCACCTTCTTCTGCTGTTTCTTGCTTGATGGGCCCAATGAATAGTCAAATGAAGATTCTTCCTTCTTCAGATTTATCTGGTCACCTGTTTTTCGTGCCTGAGAATCGCTGCTGGATGGGCTACTGCTCTCTGTGCTCTTTGATCTTCTGCTGCTGCTGCTGCTGCTGCTGCTGCTGCTGCCGCACCGAGAGCTGGAGGATGATCTTCTGGATTTTTGGAGACTATGTGGTCTTCTCTAGTGGACAGCATGATGAGAGAGAGAAAAATGTAATTCTGTTCACTTACCAGAGTTTTTAAGTAATCTGTTACACAGAAAAATAAACGTCTCTGTACTCCTCCAAAGGACATGGTCTAATCCAGAAATAGAAACCAATCTAAACTATGCCTCTTACAGAAAGCCACAAAAATTAAGGCATAGACAGAAATGACAGCTTTTGCCATATCTAGTCCCTGAAAGTGCTTTACAGCCATAACTAAACCCAAGTACATGGCTGCAGAGTGCTTTAAAAGGGCCCGATCCCATGACAATTCGAACCCTCATGAAATGAGGGTTCAGACTGTCGCAGGCATCTCCCCAGATGAATGGTCAGGCTGCAGCGAAATGGCAGAATTCTAGGCTGTAACACGAGCCTCTGGTCAGGTGACCCCTGTCACGCTCACGAGGCAGGGAAGTCAACTGCATCGAATTGCCATCGAAGCAGGAAGAAAATTGCAACATAACTGGCTAAGCAGAAAACAATGAGGGGACTGCGTGAGAAAGGGGTTATGAGTGAAAACAGAATGCTGGCAGGAAAGTAACACAATTGGCCAGTAAAGATAAGTAAAAAAGAGTGAGGGTATAAAAGGGTAGAGCCATGAGGCCCTGATGCGGGAAGTTTGAACTGTAACTTCAAGCACCAAAGGGCCTGCGGACTGATCACCCGCAGCATCGCCCCCCCGAGCGCTGCCTCGGGTCGTTCTTGAGGCCTCCGCGAAGAGACTAACGTTCCCAGCCATGAAGCCGCTCCTTTTGTTTGCTGTAGTGGTAAGCGTGGATGTAAGACTGTAGTCATTTATGTTTGTATTTGTCTGTCTTTCCTGTAAAAGACATGAGCCGTTGACCAAGTCTGGGTCTAGGGTCTTGGCTAGCCGCACCAAGGTCATCCGTGATCTTGAAAGCAAGGGGCCTTGACCTGAACCCCGTGACTCAATGGACGTAATTTCCTGTTTAGCTGTTTGTAGTTATTTTGATTGATTATGTTTTGATTGTTAAATGACCTTTAAGAAATATGAGCTGTTGACCAGGTCTGAGACTAGGGCCCTGGCCAGCCGCACCAAAACCACTCGTGGTTTTGAAAGCAAGGGGCCTTGACCCGAACCTCGTGACCCAATGGACATCACTCCTCAGCTTTGGTTGTTTGATTATTGTGTGTTGTCATAGATTAGTATTATATAGGAAATCGTTTGCTTGAGTTGTCAATATTTTATAGGTTAAAGCCAAATAAATATTGCATAA